TCTGGACAGACTTCTCAAAAGTCCACTATCATTCTCAGAGTTTGTATGAATTAAGTGGATTGTGGATGGATGCTTGGGAATTTGACAATTATGGAATTGGAAGGGATGCCTTATCTCATGGTTTGCAAGGGGAAGAAATAATTGAGAGGTTTCGCTTTTTTGTAGAAGAGTGTGACCGTGTTCAGGTATGAGATATTATTCCTGCCATTTTGAACTACTTGGAAAAAAGATGGGATTGCATAGGGTACAGTGTAAAGTCTTTGAATAGTCCTTTGACGTTGTGGCCAAAAAAGGGAAAAATAGTGTTTTGATGTTTTTTTTTTTTTTTGGCTTTTCTTTCCTTCTTCCTTTCCCTGTACATTTCTGGTGTACTTAAAATTCTTATTTCAATCTATTCCTTTATTACCTACCCCCCCCCACAAAAGAAAAAATGTTTATAGTCTTGGGATGAATCTTTTAGATTCGTCTTTAGGATTTTTTGCATCAATTATCTGCACTGTATTTATTGTTGAATTACAAGAAACATCTTTTACCTGCACTATATTTTCATTTATGTGCCTTATACTTAGGAAAGAGTACATTTCTTTTCACTCTTATAGCATCTTCTATTGAAGATAGACTTGATTCTATGACTTGTTGAGTTCCATTTACTTTCTTGCCGGGACTCTGCTTGAGTAAATTTCATCACGTTCTACTGAGTTCTTGTGCAGTGATTCCTTGAACTCTCTTCGCAAGTCAATGCGTGCTTGGAGCCGTTTTTGACATGTCCCTTGTATATGTCATTCAATAACTAATGCATGTATAGTTGATTAGAGCTATTTTAGGTATGTCCTCTTGTATGTATCGTTCAATATATATTTCCTTGTGATTTGGACAGGGTTTCCAATTTATGGTTGATGATTCTGGAGGTTTCTCAGCTGTAGCTTCAGAATTATTGGAGAACATTGCTGATGAATATTCTAACACACCTGTTTTGCTCTATGCGCTTCGGGCTTCCGAGTCTCATGTAAACCTTGGAAAGCGGAAGCAAACCATCTTGAGGAGTCTGCATGATGCAGTTTCATTTTCGCAGCTTGCATCTTTCTGTAATCTTGTTGTGCCAGTTGGTTTACCTTCCTTAAGTACAAGTAAGCCTATGTCCGTCTGATCCAAAAATAAAAACCACCTTATGTCTGCATTTGGAGTAAGGATGGACACATATTTGCAATGTATACTTGTAATTGTCATTTTTACCCTTTAACATTCTGAACAAAAATCATATTGATTGATAACACTTTCTAAGATGAAAACTGCTTACGATAGCACTCGATCTCTTTTGCTATTTACATGCTCATAAATTGTAAGTCCAAGTCTGCCATTTCCCCGGTCTTGTCTCTGTGTCAGGATGACGATATTTGCATACTAGATTGCTTGTCTACCCTAGTCCCTCTCTCTTCGAGAGACAACTGCAAACGCACATGTGGAAACGGTCTGTATGCCTAACTATAATTGACTAATCTTCTATTTTTGTTAATTTGAAGGTAGAGCATCCTCCTTCTTTTGCATCGAGGATGAGAAGCCATACCACTGTAGTGCCATTTACGCTGCTGCTCTACACTCTATTAGTTTGCCTTTTAGGATGGGATCTCTTGCGCCCACTGCCGATCTGCATTATGTGTCTGGTGCTGTGGATGTCGGTGATGTTGTACAAATACTATCGGGACAGTCTAGGAGAAATAAGGTGGCTATTCTGGACATGGCCATGCCTGCACCTTCTTTGACTGGTACACATCTTAATAGCCCCATTGAGTCTGACTTACTGATCACTGAACTCAGTAACTTATCAGATTGTGAAATCCAGGGAAAGAGGCTGGAGAAAGATTGCTCAACCATTTGCATCCAGTGACGCCTGAGATAGCAGAGCATGCGGAAGACTTGCAGGCTGTGGAAACTATGACCATTCATGGAGTTCTTGGGCCAGGTACCGTTGAAAATTCGTGCTCTGAGGCATGTCATTTTGTATTTGGTGGCGATGTTTCTCTTGACACCATAGGAAGATTGTCGATGTTGTCCTGTGCTTCTGATATCTGCACTGCTGATGGGCTCTTAAGCTTTCATTCGTTAGTTTACTTCTTTTGGTATTTAGACGGCTTGTCATCAGGGCAATACATATTTGGGGTTGAAAGCTTGGGATCTAAGTCCAAAACAGGGTCTTCTTACAATTATAGGTTTTTTCCTACTTGTCAAGCTAATGAAAACAATATCCAGTAGGGACGGTTTAGGAATGATTGGATGCTTTGGTAAGAAAATGTTAGAATTTTGTCTGAAAATGGAGTAGACAAGATGGATGAATAGTAATTTTGAATTTATAGTTGTAGGGAGATATTACCTCCAAGGGAGAAGGATGCGTTGAAGAGAACCATCAAGCTTTCCATGTGAGTTAGAGGGCTTAATTGTTCATGTTTTCCTCATTCTCAAAGAATCAATGGAGTTCACTTGTTAGTCTAACAGTAGTTTCTGCAGTGGGAAATTGGTGATGCATTAAGCTCCAAGTATAATGCTTAGGGAGTTTTGAGTTCAAGGCACATATTCACATTTGAAGTGTAAAGAAAACTATTCTATGGAACTTCTCTTCTGCAAATTCTCACACCTTCATTGAAATGCCTTCTGAGTCATAGACCGGAAGGATGATGAATTGAGTGTTGTTCACTGGTTGCTGCAGATAGATAGCAGAGAAAAATTTGTCGCTCCCTTACGTTCCTTTTATTTGTGGATTTTGACTTTTTAACTCCAAAGTTCAACTTCTTCTCTTATTCTACACCATTTGGACCTTTTCAATCTTAGTTCACGACATCTCTTGTGGCAATACTGTTAAATCCACTATTGCTGCCTAAATCAATCGCTCCTTTGATCGTGCTCCACTAATATGTTAACTCCACGTGACTGTCTTGTGAAACAACCTTATTGACCTGTGAATGCAAAAACGTGTATACTCATATCTATTTGCACTGCATAAATGACCTTATTTGTCATTGTTCTCATACAGAGATGTTACATTCTACTACAGGTGGTCATCAAGCATCAGCTTCTGAAGTGAAGGACACAATAGATGCCGCATATGAGCATGCCCCGATGAGGCCAAAATTCTGCCACTTATCAGTGGCTCATTCTCCTCTTCCAATTCCCTTGCCATTTCCATCCATCTTCAAGAACGTTGTGGGCCAGCACGGTGAGCTCTTCGAGAACCCAACAGCGGGTCCACCATCAAAAGGTTCGCTTGACGTTCATTCGATCCCTATGGCAGTTAGGCTCCGTTCCAGCAGCGCGATCCTGCCATACCTGGAAAGTAGGCTCGGATATCTGCGAAGGTATGGAGTTGACAGAGGAGCTCCTGGGGCTGAGTTAGTTCGGAGCTGGGGTTTTGGAAAGGATGACTTGGAAGAATTTGCGGAAGCTCTGTCTAAAATGGTTATTGAACTGAAGCCTCACAGAGAAGTGTCATCCGATTCAGATTGAATGTAACGTTATCCTCCATATCCCTTGAAAATAATGGTTTAACTTTGATAATTTTATCTCTCTCTCTCTCTCTCTCTCTCTCTGTGTCTCTCTGCGTGCACACGCGCACGCAATTACGCATGTTTTTCTTTTGTTCTGGGACGGAGATTTTTTGCCGAAGTGAAGGGAAGCTCAGACTTTGCAATGAACTGTTTCGGACCCTAGTGTTGGTATCAAAGTCATAGAAACATTGGAAATCCTTAGAGGCGGATCATCTCATAAAACAACCAGATTCATAGCCTTCCACAGCCCTTTGATGGCACTCCGTCACCCTTGGCGAGTTGCAATCTTGCTTGCTAATCGGCTCAAGGAGCCGAATGCAGAACAATAGTCGACCATCTAATGTTGGCCATTAATGGTCTTGTCGTAGGACTTGTGATGATTGTGATCAAATGGAAGCAATCATTTGATTATAACCAAGCCAATCTCTGTTTGGCTTGGATCATTGCGGCGTTAAGTCGATTTGATGGCTTTAGTCACATCACTTTGTTGTGCCGCTGTCCGACTTCCCTCCATATTGCGCATCTATATTAGGCATTGTGTCTGTTGATGTGATCTATATAGGATCATTGTGGCATCGATCGACTTGATAGCTTGGTTCGACTGTTGTAGTTAGTGTAGCTAGAATTATGTTATCTCATGTCTTGATTTTGTGTTGGTAATTTCCCAACCCTGAATATATTGTTTGATATCATGATTTAGTTAACCGTTTACATCCCTCATCGCCCGGGACGTTTACGAAGTACATGATAGGAAATTGGATGGGAAATTTGCAGGGTTAATCAAATGAGGTATGCAATAAGATTTCTCGTATTTTTTAATACTAGATTTGTCGTACTATTAAGGGTTAATTCTACCAAAAATCCCAAATCGGTACATCTATGACAATTTTACTCTCCGTTAGTTTCCGTTAAATTTCACCGTCAAATTTCTCAATTAGATGACACGTGACGGTTGACAGGTGTGCTAGTTTGGGGTTTTACCTTCCGTTTGTCACATGTAAATTAGTTTGTGGTTTTTCACGGTTTTAATCCAATTTAACGAAGAGTAAATTTATCACAAATGTACCAATTTAGAATTTTTGGTGGGCAAAAATTTAGTTTAGGGTAAATTTGTTACAGATGCGGCAGTTTGAGATTTTTGGTGGTCAAAAAATTAGTTTGGAGTAAATTTGTCACGATTTTTCGTGATATTAACTCTATTTTTTTATCTGGGAAAAGCCTTTTAAGCTTACTTTTTCGGAAAAAAAAAAACGAAAGATATATAAAGAAAAAAGATTGACCCTCAAAAAAGAATAACAAGCTACGAATTTGTCCTGAAATCGTGGGCGAAGATTGATTTATGGGTCAAATCTGTAATAAAATAAAATACGGGGACCAAAACTGGATAGTATCCATACTACACAGGACCATTTCGTGATTTTGCCAAATTAGCTATGAGCTTCGGAGGCCCATTTCCTAAACCCACCCCCGCCGGCACCAAAACCCTGGATCACACACTCCCAAGACCCGACCCTTCGTCGCCGAATTCAATCGCGCTCCCCTACCATGGCCAAGTGGTGGCGCGCCGCCGCCGCCGCCTCCGCCTCGGACGGCCTCAGGGCGGCGGCTCTGAGCTCCCCTCCGCCGCTCGTCCGGCCGCGGAGCTCCCCGTACCACACCATCCAGGCCATCCCCCGGGAGTGCAGCGGGAGCAGGGTCGCGAGCAGGGACAGAGCCCAGGGGCGCATCCCCACCGTCGTCTTCGCCCAGAGCCTCCTCGACAAGGACCCCGGCGGCGCGCGGCCTCCTTCGAGGAAGTACCTGCTGACGACGGAGAGGAGGCAGATCAAGTCCATCCTCAGCTCCGTCAGGCTCCCCTTCTTCTGCTCCACGACCTTCGGGCTCCAGATTCGGGCCGGGTCCGGGTCGTCCACCCTGCTCGAGTCCGGGAAAGTTCTCCCGGTCAAGGTGAGGGTCGTGCGCTCCGACCGCGATCGGTCGCGAGAAGTTTTGCGTTTGGATGCCATTGGATAGAATTGCTTACAGGGAAAGCAGATATCGAAGTAGAACTTTTTGCTTTTCGGAATAACCAAAAGAAGACATGGTTTTTGCTTTTCAGTATGTATAGTTGATCCCAGTTAGCTAGAATGGTTACAAGCAAAAGGCTTGAATTCTAACAATACAGATGAAAAGAGAAACACATTGTATTGGAGCTAAGATCAAGTTAGTAGACATGATTGTCTGGTAGCATTTATTGTTTGGGGGAACCAAACATTGCTACAACTCGAGCATCGTTATGAGCAAATTAAAAGCAAATCAGTCGTTTTTTATGGACGAACATAAAATATGAATGAGTCTGAAGTTTACAGTAGCCGTTCATCTAATTATGTAGACACAGTTGCAAGCCGATTTGGTCCGGCAAGGCCCTATGCGGATGCTTCTATCAGGACTTGTAGAACCCTTGAATAAGCAATGGAGATAAATGGCGGTGACCGTTGAATTGAGAATGTTATTGAAATTAGTGATTGGTTGAGAATTGATGCATGTCCTGTTGGTTTTGTAGGTTCATAGGGATGAGGAGACAGGCAAGATATTGAATTTGGTGCTCGTTTGGGCTGATGAGGGATCAAAGTTGAAGGTTGATGTGCCTGTTGTTTTCAAAGGAGAGGAAGTTTGTCCTGGTCTGAAGAAAGGTAAGGATCCTATAACTTTGTGGTTGTATTAAGTTTGAGGCCAGACTAGGAAATTTCTCAATGAATGCAATTCTTGCTTTTCAATATTTTTGAACTTATAGGATCCATGGTTTTGTTTCTTTTTCCTGTATTGTAAATGCTTCTTTCCGAGGTAATATTTGAAGAGTTTATGCTGAGTTGTTTCAGTTGGAATGGTTGAATTTCCCAGAGTCAATTACATGCATGAAGTGCAATAGCGTATTTTTTCATTGTGTTGACGGGAGAAACTTGGTTTTGAATTGGTTTGTAAAGAAATTGGTTCTTGATCTAGTAAGCATTTGGACATGATGTTGCATTTCTTTGCAAATAGTGAGACTCTGTTTATGCAGTGAGCTTCACTAAAGCAGCATTACTCTGGGTGACCGAATTATGTTGTCGGTTGCTCTTTGCAAAGGTTGTTTAAATACCTTGCTATGTAGGAATGTCGGTATTAGCAAGTAGTGTTTTTCTTTTTCTTTATTGTTCTTTTCATTTTTGAGGAAAAGACGAAAGATGGGTGGGGGTTTTTTTAGGAACTGGGGGATAGCTTGAGCATGTGTTCCGGTATCTTCTCTTGTGGCCGCTTAAGAAGGGGAATGGAAAATGGGGCTGTTTCACTACAATCTTTCACATTTTGTTTATTTGCACAATTTTCTCTGGATTGGTGGTATTGCAATAAAGGGTGATGATGGACCCGCTTCATTAATTTAATTCATTTTGTGAGGCTACTATAGGTGACTTTAATGAATGTGCAGTTGCAAGCCTCTATTACTTTATTTGTTGGGGAATCTTTAATCTGGAAAGTTTTGAGTTTTTCTAGAATGTTGTCCGGTTTCCTTATTTCTAAGGATTTGGTAATGTCAGTTTGGGATATTCTTCCTGGAAATCTAGGCACTCAATAATTCTTAATTTAGTAATGGCCCATTTGATGTTACATTCTGTCATACGTTGCTTATGTTCTTAAATTTATTGTACCTATTTGCTGCAAAACAGGGGGCTATCTGAACGCAATAAGAACCAGTCTAAAGTTTACTTGCCCAGCAGAGCACATTCCTTCAAAGATTGAGGTTGATGTCAGCAATCTAGACATTGGAGATAGAATTTTCATGCATGATGTTGAATTTCATCCATCCGTGGAGCTTTTGAGCAAGAATGATGCCATTCCGATATGTAAGGTCATGTCGACAAAATCGGAGAGTGTGGAGCCTGCAGAGGCGTAGGCACAAAGAAGCTCCATCCCCTATTGTGCACGTTTGAGATGTCGAGAGTGCTGCAGATCGAGGTGCCCTTGGTTTTGCAATTACCATGGGCTAATTGTCAAATAACGTCGAGGCATTTCTAAATAACTCAGGTCTCTATCGGGCGACTACGTCGGGGATCCGCGAGGCTCCGGGGTAGTTTCACCAGTTTGACGTTTCCAGGGCCAGAGAGACTTCATATGTTTTGTCTTGTAGTCTTGCGAAGAAGTAAAAGCTTTGAACCTGTCAATTGTTGTTGGATGCTTCCAATGAAGAAATTGATCACGTCAAGCATTCACCGGGGGACAACATCATGTGTATTTGGTGTGACTTTACGATGATTTCTCGAACAATATCCAAAAAGAACTTCTAGCCGAGACTGACAAATTTGCTTGATTAGCTGGTCTTGACCCTTATGATGGTGCAAACGTGTGTTGTTTCTCAGAAACTGAGAAACTTCCTTCGGTCGAACTTCATGGATACTGCAAAGATTTGACCTCGTCAGCAGTTTCCTTTCCTCTTTCGTATTCCTTTTTTCCTTAGAGAAATTTTACCCTATCCAAGCTATTGTGACGACTCCTTTAGAATCCATTTTAGATAATGACTATATATTTGCTTTTACAAGGTCTACTGACTCTAATCTTATCCCTAAAGTCTCTTATAACTGCTACATTTGCGTTGAACTTTTCTCATCCTGTCTTTGATAATTTTTGTTCATATTTATTTCACATCTATGTTCACTCCTTTTGCTAATGATAAAAAAAAAGAAAGAATCATAATTGTTTCCTCATAAGATATATATATTTAATAGAAAAATATAAATACCTTGTCATGATATTATCGCGATATGAAACTACTACATTGAGACAATTAATTGAAAATGGAAGTGGACAACTTTCAAGATATGATACGTAGAGCCTTATTCAATGCACATGAATGGGTAATTTGTGTATGTTCGTAAAGATTAGTCGAGCTAAAAAAGTCGGAATATGTTATATTATAAAAAAGGAAAACAATAATAACTAATACGGTCTTACCGGCAACGTCTATGCACGAATGGGGGCTTGCCGTAGTGGCACCCGCAATGAACATTCATTTCGTAGGTGCGGATGTGCCATAAGAGCTCGAAATTTTGGATTCACGTTGTGATCGGTTCGACATACGGGTCAGAATAAGGGGATTGCAACATCTCCATTGAGAGCTTCATCTCACTTGGCAATCTGTGTTTACGCGTCATAATCGGATTTTGTAAAACACGTCGAGTCGTCGTTAGAAAGTACTGTGCATATTAAATTAGTGACGACGCGTGTTACTTTCGGATTTTGTAACACGATTGAATGTAAGCGTGTCAATTCGTGTTGGAAATTGGTAAGGCCCGCCAGATATGTTCACTCCACGTACGCACAAGACCAAGACCTGGAAGGGGGCAGGCCGAAGAATTTGCTTCTCTCCGTTTTCTTGCATTACAGGCTTTCTGGGTATCTTCATTTTCTGCAGTTGACCTTGACCTTTCCCCATGGAATAGGAATAGGATTCTCAGGACCAATTCTATGAAAATCTGCACCATTTCACACCTTGTCCGAATTCTTTTCTTTTTTTAGGCAGAACAAACAAAAACATTACATCACAAAATAAACCGATATCTTGACTCCCGTTCACTTTAACACTACGAAGAGTCTAAAACATCCATAATTCCGATAGGAACTTGATAAAGAAAAAGGGTTAATACTACGAAAACTTTAAACCGGTACACCCGTGATAAATTTACCTTAAATTAATTTTTTTATCACAAAAAACTTTAAACCGGTACACCCGTGATAAATTTACCTCAAACTAATTTTTTGACCACAAAAAAATCCCAAACTGGTACACTTGTGACAAATTTACCTTCCGTTAAATTGGATTAATATCATGAAAAACTATAAACTGGTAAATTAGTGACACACAGAGGGATAAAACCCTAAATCGGAACGCCCGTCAACTACCACGTGTCATCCAACTTAACTAACGGAGGATAAATTTGGCATATGTATACCGGTTTGGGATTTTTTTTTATGATATTAACCCTAAAAATTATTCCATAATTCTTACTGCTTCAATTAACTTTGGGATTTGACCAAAAATAAATAAAAAATAAATAAACTTTGGGAAGCCAAGCTTGGATACAAGCGAGGTAGACCTGGTCGAACTCAACTGATAAGTCTCTTTTTTATTTTAACCTTTATAATAAAATGACAATTAGCTCTAGAAGATGCTCTCATCAATTATCAAAGTTTGAGATAAAATCCAAACGCACACTTTTGTCTCTTCGCTTGGCCCACCAGAAGGAATCATGATGCCCTTTGACAATTTCCACAAAGAGAAAAATAATGGCCGTAGACAACTTGGCCGGCAATTGACGATGACGCATTACTTGCTGAATTGCCAGTCTCACGTACTCAAAATTAAGGAAAGTTTGTCATTTTTCAGGACATTGCATTTTTCACGTTATGCGTGTCGGTGCTGAGAAACGGATATATTTTCTTATACTGTACGGTAAATTAATGTCTCGAAAACACTCGTTAACATGACCCTTCACGTAATTTAAGATTGCGGATCACGCACAAACAATTAAGAGGGGATGAATTGATTGTCTAAGGAAACTCAAACTTTTTTCGCGAATAATTACCCAATAGTGCGTGCGTCGATGTTGTAGCGACAACCGTGCATGTGCAGAAATAGTTCTCTTCTATCAACATTATACAAAGGGGAGTTTAAGGGAGAGAAGAAAAGCCGAGCATATTTATAGTGGTTCGAATTATCCATTTGGCGTATTCCACTTTTCTAGCTTTAATAGCCTAAATTAATGCTGGCATCTAATAAACGTGTTGCTCCTACACGAAACTCGTGTAGTTTCTTCTGAGGACACTATACTTCCAACCATGCTCAACGACTTTCCTACGTACACCCAGAACTCTATAAAGAAATACAATCAGATATCCACAGCTTTTACACCAAGAATGACCTGGGGATGAACGCTCGGGGGCAAAGGCTAATTTTGTTTGTTTCCCCCCACTCTTACTACTTCTCCTGGGTTGAATTTATAGTTACGAGACCTCAAATGACCATTTGAAATTTAAATTTCACGGGTAGCCATTGATTCTGTAATCTGCAGGAGTAGAATGTAACTCATGCTGCATTGTAGAGATTGTTTATCAAACTGGTCAATTTTACTTCCGTGACAGTCTGTCGTCCTCTAACGCTTTCTTTAATATGGCAATCTATTTTAGTTTTCCACCATTCCTTTATTGACACCTGTAATATCTTTGACGTGTTCACGCCGATTTTGGCGGGTTGGGCAACCCCTCTCGATTGAGGCCACGGCAGGCAACATTGGCTGCCACCACCTCCGCCTCCACCTCCACCTCCACGGACAAAGATTATTTGACTTCCCAAACTCTTTCAACATTGGACTCCAAACCAAGCAAAAAAAAAAACCAAAGGAAAGAGCAAAAAGTCTTTAGACATAACAAGTAGTGGGCAAAATGTTTCAAACATGGCATCCGCCTTTACCAGATGACGACTGGACTGGAAGAAGCAGACGTTCTAGATCGATAGCAACATCATCACGTTGCAGTGCCGCATGACTAGGAAAATCTGGAACCGGGCAGAATCCGAGGACGAAATTACGACGAAATCGACAGCCCCGACTGTTTCTAATCATCTCGAGAAGCCATTTTGGTTGTTTCGTGAAATAACTCACTAATTTTAAAGATCAAGCGAGGCGCGAGTCTAAAAATCTTTGGCGAGTGACCGAAATATGAAATTATTTGTGCTTGATGATGTGGGAATTTTGAAGGGATAATGATACAAATGGACCTTGAACTATGGCCTGATGTGCAATTTGATCTCTAAATATTTAATTTATTCAGTATGGCTCTTGAACTTTAACCCAATATGTAATATGATCCCAGAACTTTCAATTTGTTCAATTTGGTCCGTTGACTTTTGGTACATGTTCAACTTAGTTACTGAATTATATAAAAATGTTCAACATTATCCATCCATTAATACAATTTTAGGGACAACAATGAACTTTTTCAAATAGTCTAGGGATTAAATTGATCAGGGACCACATTAAACAAATGAAAAGTTTAGGGATCACGTTGCATATTCGCTACAGTTCAGGATCATATTGTAAATCAGGTCAAAGTTCAGAAACCATTTGTGTCATTTTCCTAATTTTGAATTAGTACAGCGTGCCTCACGATAAGATTGTGCCTGTCTCCTAACAATTGAATCAATTTCATGTGATTAAAGTCATCAGCTTACCGATATTCAACTTTGTAATCTAACCTCGAAGGAACAAAAAGGTGATCGTTTTGTGTTATATGAACAAAACAAAAATGGGTTTGACCAAAAAAAAAAAAAAACAAAACAAAAATGGGTTCACAGAAAATCTATGCGAAGAAAAGTACCGTCGGATACGAATCATATTGTATGGCCTGGTTGAATCATGTAATCATCATTGGTCCAACTATCCATGCAATTAAAATGCGGAACATACAATATGACATTTCTTGCAATAATTATCAAAAAAGTCATAAATTTATGTATATGACGACCAATTTAATCATAAACTTTTTAATTTGGCTAATTTAGTTCTACGACTGCTGACGATTTGTCAATGTAATCCATTCGATCAATTTTAGAGACACCACGTCATAAATTAGGGACCTGTGTTGGGTAGAGAGCTTGGAAAACTCTTCTATTTTAGAAAGTTTCCCCCACACAGAGTTTGGTTAGCCGCCTACCTGCTCAAGTCCAAAAATTTATACGCACTGTTTCGAGAATTGGCGAGTTTTGATAACAAAGGCTAACCAAATCTCGCGTCGGCCCTAACGATACAGGAAACACGATCTATAACAAAATTTTCTCAATTCAAAAAGGCCGAACTCGGTCAAATCATACGTGCAATCGACAGGTGGTAGACGAAGACGAATGTAATATGGCTCGATGCCAAATTCTCCTTATGCTATTGCAATCAAGATAGTATCCACAACATGTCAATCTTTCTATGTTGGGACTGGAAACGAGAGATCGTACTAAATAAAAAGGGCAATTTCTCTTTGGGTTAATACCACTAAAAGCCCAAAATTAGTACATCTTTGACAAATTTACCCCAACCTAGAATTTATCCTCTGTTAGTTTCCGTTAAATTGGATTAATACAACGAAAAACCACAAATTAGTACACCTGTGATAAACGAAGGGTAAATTTGTCACATGCGTATCGGTTTAGAGTTTTTTTTTTTGGGTAAAAAATTTGGGATTTTTAGTGATAAAAAAATTAGTTCGGAGAAAATTCATCGTGGGCATACTAATTTGAAGTTATTTTGAGATATGATTATTTTTTTTTCCATATTTAGCCCCTCACCCCTGGGCTTGCAAGCCGAGTATTTACTCTCTCTCTCTCTCTCTCTCTCTCTCTCTCTCTTTCTGTGTGTACGGATATGGTTCTAAATCAACGAAAGCAAAATCTAAACTAATCCATTTTAATTATAACTAATTAACCAATTAACCCAAAAAACGAGAAACTGCTCTTCCTCTCCTTTCCCGCGACCCCAACGACCCCGACACCGACAAGAGAGAGAGAGAGAGAGAGAGAGAGAGAGAGAGAGACAGACACATTACACAGAGCGCGCGAGCGACAATTGTCGTGGGTTGACGTCGTTTGCCAAACCGCGTTCCCTCCCACGTCCGAACAAAAACGACCCCGACCTCCTCCTCCTCCACACCACCACCACCACCACAAACCACCACAAACCACCGTCTCTCTCTCTCTCTCTCCCCGCCTCCGCCTCCGCCTCCGCCTCCGCTTCCGCCTCCGCCTCCGCCTCCGCCTCCGCCTCCGCTTCCGCCTCCGCCTCCGCGTCCTCCATGCCGCTCTTCCTCCTCCTCCGCTCCCCGGCTCCCGAATCCCGCCGCGCCCCGTAACCCGCGCAGCGCATTCCCCTCGTCTTCGATCACCCCCGTCCCATCCCATCCCATCCCACCGTGGCTTTCGCGCACGATGATCGGCTCGTTATGCGCTGGCTCCAGAACATCTCCTTCCCCAGCTCCTCCTCCTCTGCCCCTCCCCAGCCGTCCCCTGGATCAGCCTCCTCCTCGCCCACCAAGAAGGACCGCCGCGGCGGCGGGGGCGGGGGCGGCGGCGGGGCCGCCCGCTTCGGGCGGAGGCTCACGCGCCAGGTGAACCTGCGGTACCTGAGCGACCAGGAGATCGACGGGGCGCTCCAGCTGCCCCCGCCGTCCCCCGACGGGAGCTCGCCGGCGGCGGCGGTGGCCCACCCCCTCCCGCTGCCGGAGCTGGCGCTGCTGCTCCGCCGGAAGGAGGGGTTCTCGGGCGCGGGCGCTGAGAGAGGAGACTGTCCACTTCCGTCGCCGGAGGAGGCCGGGGTTAGTAGAGACAGAGAAGGCGATGCGGGCGGCGACGGACCTGGGCCTGCCGCTCGTGTTGGCTGGTAACGACTTTCTCAATACGATCGCTGTGCAATGTGGATTGGATTTCTGGCGTGTAATGTTGATTTGAATGTGTTGACTCGGGTTGGTGTTGGTATTTTATCTTCCTCAAATCAGATTTTCGTTTTCAGCTTGATAGCAGGTCAATTCAGCTTAAGCACAGTTTGATTAGACAGGGTTGGGGTTTGATTTTCGGCTTCGATCATCATCGCGGGTTTGATGTTGATCTCATCTTGGGTGGAGTAGATTACAAGAGCAATTATTTCAATTTTTCCTGATGAATTGGTCAGGGTGACTTCATTGCAAGTTTACAAAAAGCTTTTCCTCACCCTAGGTGAATAATCCCAGTAACTGTACAAGTAATAGATATATAGAATAAAGCATGTGTGGTGGTACTGGATGTCATCATAAGTTCCACCTTTTCTGTCATCATCAAGTAATAGATAATCCGATAAAAGGGGCCTTTTGAAATTGTAAATTGCAATGACATTGAAGTACCTCAACAGACAAGCTCATTTGCAAATGCTGTTTTTGGTGGACCTGAACACAGCAGATGAGACTCTGGGTCAACCTATCATATATGCTGGTATTCCCATAAAAGACAGCAGTTTAACCTTCTCCCAACTTCTTTGCAGCACTGGTTCATACAAAATAAGAAATGACTCGAGCAATTGAATTGCGATTACTGTAATACAAGAATATCCTTTCCCTGCCACCAAAAATCAGAAATTTGAAAGGGCGATTGTCTCAAGATCTTGCTTCTGTTGCTAGGCACTGGTTTGTAGCAAATAATCGCAACGAGAGAGAGAGAGAGAGAGAGAGAGAGAGAGAGAGAGAGAGAGAGAGAGAGAGAGAGAACAATATAATTATGCCGAATATCTTTTTCCATGAGAAAATGGGTTTTTGTTTTTTTTTGTTTTTTTGTTACTGTGAACTCATGTGCATCCCCATGCATGATATGTCGCAGATGCCTGCATTAGTGTATTCTGTGTCTTGCTTGAGCTTTTTATGCACATCTCTGATTATTTATAGCTTATTATGGCTGAATTGCTGATTACCTCCTTTAGACTAAACTTAGTCAACTGTTGCTCTTGTCATTCTATCTACCACAGCTCTCTTGCATACCAGAATGGAAATGAGGTTGTGGAGAATGTCGATGCGGGGCCGTCTACAGCAGTTTGTCTAGATGTAAGAGGTGTAGAAAGATCTGGAGACAATTTCAGGCTCAATGTGCCCACTAGGAGTGTCCCCACTAGCCCTTTCATAAGTCCTGCACTTAGCCCACAAAGAAAGTCACTTGGTGATCTTTTACCATACTACTTAACTCCGAGAGGAAACAATACATGGTCTGCGCCCGAGATGCCAATTGGTTCGCCTTCCCCATCATTCTTGGAGCACAATGGCTCGCCCCTTCCGAGTCCGCAAACAAAAACTCCTCGTCGAAGTTCTAAAAGTTCATGGGGATCAGCATCGCCAATGCATCACAAGTCATCGGTTGAAAACTCTACAGCTTGGCGTGAAAGTAATGTTCAAGCTGGTGTCCACCCTTTACCTCGTCCTCCTGGAGCAGCTTTGCCTTCCCATTCACCTCCCAATGCCCAAGTCACTGTAAAAGCAGAGTCCTTGCCACTAAAAAGTCAATGGAAAAAAGGAAGACTTATTGGACGTGGCACATTTGGAAGTGTTTATGTTGCTAGCAACCGGTATGTTAGTTCTGGCAGTTTTCATGTCCCACTTGTTTTTCTTTTATTTTTCGCAAGTATGGTTGACTGACATACACTTTTCTTGCCTGACAGAGAAACTGGGGCTCTCTGTGCGATGAAGGAAGTTGAGTTATTGCCTGATGATCCAAAATCTGCTGAATGCATGAGGCAGTTAGAGCAGGTAACTTTTGCCATCCGCTAGGGTCCAAATTTATGCTCCTGTGGTCATAATAATTATCTGCTATGAAGGGATTGATTTACCTCATCGTAAACCAAATTTGACAAGTTTAGTTGCCCCTCCCCCAAAAAAGCCATAGACTTTTCTCGTTTGAGATAAAATTGTTTGCTCTTCGGCCTCTTGAATGGAAGAAAAATCTTGTGATCATGAGATTTATCAGGTGGTTCTTATGATCCAACTTTTCATTGAAGTCTATAGTTCATTTGCATACTTGAATATGGAAATGTGTGGGGTTCAAACATCAGTACTAGGCAGGCTTATGTCAAGTTGGGACACTAAAGTTCTTTGGTAATTATTGTTGGTAATACTGTTGATTGTGATTCATTATAAGGAGCAGTACTTTTATGTGCGGTTTGGTTGTCATATCGTGAGATCCACTTGTCACCACAGAGATTATGTTTTTGTCTCTTTAGGGATGATGATAACTGTATTTGCCTTCTCTCCGGACGCATTTAGGACAATGTCTCGTTTTTCTGTTTTCAATTTCTCTTAGAATGGTGTATCTTACATTATCCTCTCGTATCAAATGTCTGTTGCAGGAAATTAAAGTGCTCAGCCGGCTTAAGCATCCAAATATCGTGCAGTATTATGGCAGTGAAATTGTGAGTTATCTTTCAGTCTTATGTGCATGTCCCAGCTTGACATGCATCCATAGAGGTTTTGTTTTAGAACCTAATTTGACTAAGATTTGGATTGACATGTCTTCAAGTGGGTTTTTGTGGAATTTTATTTGACTAAGATAAGATTGAATGTCTTCACATACAGGTTGAGGATCGTTTTTATATATATCTTGAGTATGTTCATCCTGGTTCCATCAACAAATATGTCCGGGATCATTGTGGGGCCATAACAGAATCTGTTGTCCGCAATTTTACTCGCCACATTTTGTCTGGATTGGCTTACTTACATAGTAAGAAGACAATACATAGGTAACTAGATAAGGGTTGAAGCATCTTGAGATCACTTTGATATTGCTATTGGCCTTCTTAAATCCTACACGTCCATTACATTGGAAAACGACGATTAGATTTTCTGCTGTCTGTTGGGGACCTATAGAAACTCTTTGGCCTGTGCAGGGACATCAAGGGAGCTAATTTACTTGTCGATGCATCTGGAATTGTCAAACTTGCTGACTTTGGGATGGCTAAGCACGTAAGCTTCCAGCTCTTAACCACAAGATACAACTATATGCATCTTATTTTGCACCATGGTCTCTTGTTGTCTTATGTCTGATATTAGTTTGTGGCAGGTTATCAATATGAAACTATATATATTTAGACAGATCAAATGTTTGTGAATGATTTTCTTCCTGTTATCTCATTTCGGCTAAAAAAAAAGTCCGTCATGTTGTTCAAAGGGAATAATTCTGTTACTATGTTCAAACCAAACAAGTCATTGGTAGCTATGAAATATTAGTAAGGCCGGCCTTAGCTTGGTTGTTAATCTTATTTTTTATGCTCCTCCAATTACTAGAGAAGTTTTAAATACTTCACAATAACAATCACTAAAACAAATTATTTTGACTTCTATGGTGGAACTTAAGCAATTACTTGATCTTTTTGCTTGCTTTTGAATATGTGAAGCATGGACTGGCTAAAATTACAAGAAAGGAAAAGAAGAATAAAGAACTTGCAAAGCGTGAGTGGCAAAAAAGTTGTGAAGCATGTGTGAAATTGTTTTATGGGTCTGCAAAGGGTTGATTGCTTTGTAGTCCTGTGTCCAAGTAATGAGTTGACATGAGTTGGACATTGGTACTAGGGTTATTGTTAAGAGTTATTTTTGTATATCCTGATGAAAACCATTCAATTTTAATTACTACAGTAGCTACTGTCAGGAATTAGCACTCCATGTTTCATGGGTAACCGAGCTAGCTTTGGCTTCACTGATGTGTATCTTACTTTCCCTTAGCTAACTGGACAAACAGCTGATCTCTCTTTAAAGGGAAGTCCATATTGGATGGCTCCAGAGGTATTTTCTATTTCATGAGCTTTCGTGTAACCTTCTTGTAGCCTGGTTTCTCTGATGCAATTATGTTCTATGCAGCTCATACAGGCTGTGATGCAGAAAGATAATGGCTCCGATCACGCTCTTGCTGTTGATATATGGAGTTTGGGATGCACTATTGTTGAAATGCTCACTGGGAAACCTCCTTGGAGTGGGTTTGAGGGGGTAAGAGCATTGTTTTGTATGGTCCAATAAGCTCTGAACATTGTGGCTTAAAGTGAAAAAGTCAGAGATGCCTAAAGGTCTAAGCTGAAAATGTTAACAGCATAATGGCATCACTTTCTAATAATAATAACAATAATTTATTTTAGTCAGTTGCATTCTGTTTATGTACTTTTGCTGTAAGTTTTAACTAATAACTAAGGTTTGGTTCCAAATTTGTATCAAGACATGAAAAGCTCTCACCCAAACTTGCTAATTTATTTGCATTTCACTGCCATGGCAGAAGTTGGGGTTTCCATCCATGTTTTCAGGCCTTTTCTTCTTCTAATCTTTTTGGCTAAGAGAAACAGCAGCTTTTTATTGCATTTTTTGTTCTGATCTTTTTATGCTGTTAATGACCGCATATTTTATATATAAAAAAAGCCAGACCATAATTTCTACGGTAATGTAAGATGGTACTGAGACATTGGTATTAACCTTAGTTCTGGGCCTTTAAACTCTGTTGAGGATTTTGTTAATGTTTGGTGCACTTTGTAATGCAGTTTCCAGTGTGTATTTGCGTCATAAGCTTTTTGGGTTAGCTTATCCTTAGTCAAGTATCTAATTGCAGGCTGCAGCTATGTTTAAAGCTATGAATAATTCTCCATCAATACCTGAAATATTATCATCTGAGGGAAAGGATTTCCTGCAACGCTGCTTTCGAAGGGATCCAGCTGAAAGGCCTTCAGCAGCCATGCTACTTGAACATCCTTTCCTGAAAAGTTCACAGCAGATAGATGTCCCGTCTCATACTCAAGTGCTGAGCAGAAAATCGACGGTAATCAGCACATTCCACTTCTTGGCCGCGACTCCTAAAACTTTACAAGTAAATAAAAACTGCACAGTAGACCATTGTTCTTAATATCCTGTTGGTGTGGTTTTACAGGATTTATCTCATAGCCCACGAGACCATGTCAAGCATACTGTTGACAAGCTGCCCATCTTGCCAACAGCTGCACAAAGTACAGCATTTAAGGCGGTTATTGACAGGTACAACTCTAGAGGTTAGCCTTCACGCATTCCCTTCCTCCTTACCTGATTTTTTAAACTTTGATATGTAAATGGTTCGTCTATTCTTGCATACTGTTGGTTGCAACTTCCTAATTACTCTTTTTCACCAGTGAGGGTGGCCGACAATCTCATGTTGAGACTTCTGACTTGACACTAGTGTCCCGTTATTCTCCTCGTTCTATCCTCGAGGTGCTTCCCACTTTGTCTCCTCCTCATTCAGATCGAACAGCAAACTATCCCAGTCCATCTTCTAATCGTCTTAGCTCAGTCAAAAGCGGCGCTAAAAAGAATCGACTTTCCAGATGATTTCTTTGGGGAGAGCTGCCCCAATTTTGCTGCAGGTTCTGCTCTTAATTAGGCTCTAATGTACATGGACTCTGTGCATGCGCAAGTAGTTTGCATGCAGCTCAAAGTGTTTGATTTGTAGCTTCCTTGTCTCGTTTTAGAATCAATGACTCCTGAAGTTGTAGATGCTTCATTGCCTTGGAAGTTTTTGACACATTTTAGGAGCAGATCTTGCATCTATTCACTTGCATGGGGCCATCAGCTACAGTTATTGAAGTTGATCTTTTCAACTTGCACTTTCTTGAGGTACTTTCTTCACCTCATCGTGCAACTCATGTAGTGCGGGTGAATCTGTAGATATTAGCTTTCGTGTACAATAGTTCCTTTCAATAGGGATGTTATATCAATTGAAACAGAGCAGCGATTCTTTAAGAGGAATTGATGATGTGAGGCTTGTCTCTTGTACCTGTACAAATTCATTGCATCAAGTTGATGCATAGTCAAACATTATTTGTGAGATTTCTCTGTGAAATCTGACTCGATTATCCACTTAGTGTGGCTGATGAAAAAACAACTAGACGGATGAATTCTTTTGTTTCCTTGCACTCGTCTTAACATCCTAATGTCCTTTACAACTGATAAGGATTCGTAAACATGGGGGATAGACAGTTGCCCGCACCAGGAGAATTTGATCTTCTAGAACTGTGCATTCTCTCTGTCGCTTATATGATGTTGACGATTCCTGTTTGGCTCTCCTCTTGAGAGACTTGATCTTTGAGTCCTTGTTTCTGTCCCGTTATGTTTCTTCTTCACTTACCATATCGCACCTCAACTCTATTGATACAGCCGTCTTACTACTGAACGACGAAGTCTCATACATAGAACCGATATTAACATGTTATCAAAATATATACATCTATATTCTGATAAAAGAACAGGCTAGTAAAAGGATTAGACTACTAAAGTCCACCAGAAAAAAATATACATCTCTAGTGACTAACAAAATTAAATCAAACAACTGTTATTTCAATTTACAACTATCTCAACTTATATCAAAATCCAACTCCCAAAGCTCACCCGTTGAAACTGCTCTCTTGCTATTCATCAGTAGCTGGAGAACCTGAAAACAATTGGGATGAATAGTATGAGCAAATGTTGTTGAAACTGCTCTCTTGCTATTCACTAGTAGCTGGAGAACCTGAAAACAATTGGGATGAATAGAATGAGCAAATGTTGGGAGCGAGCATCATAAGTCAGATACCTTCAATCGAGGAGATCGCAAAGAGAAAGCCCAAATCCAGACCCGTCAATATATCAAGTTGGACCCAGCTTCACTGCAAAACTTAAGCCAATGAGTTATAGGGTAATTATGATATATTAATTACTCCATACGACTTCAATTTTAATATATGACCTTTTATAACTCAATTCACACGTGCAAATATACACACCATTCAGGGATTAGTAAATATTACTTCTAAGCAGATTGAGCATTCACTTTGCACATTTATAGACGGTACTACAAACACATCTATCCAAATCTAGTATGTAATATACAAACAAGATAAAAGATGAGTTATATTACTTCAACAAAACTTAATACATATCATAAATACTCATTCAAATAGTATAAAAGGAAACATTAATAGTCTAGTACATTCGTCTTAATATCAAATTATGGCCACGTTTAATGCCCTGTGACAAGGCCTGCCAAGATTCCCCGTGGTGTAGTTCTCTACCTACATTAGTCGATGGCTTGACCCAAACAGGACGTCTTGAGAACGGTAGTCACACTCACAACCCTTTAATGGGTTTAAATCATAGCGACAAGAGCATAAAGCCATTAATACAATCCTCGGACCAATCACAAAACCATTTCAGAACTCAATTCATAAACTAGTATATAGCCTTATGAAATTCTGTCCATCAAGAAGAACACATTTCATATAGCATTTTTTAAATCATTTCACAAATAATCAATTCCCAAACTATTTCAAGAGATACATTTACTATCCATATTCAAATAATTAAAAGGTCAGTAAATGTTTTATCCAACTTTATCCAACAAATATGTTTTAAAAATCACTTTTTCTTTTTAGTAAATATCATAAATGAGATGCGTCTTTCATAATTTATAACATGCATAATTCCTATCATTTTCAAGAAATGAGTTTACAAATCATAGAAGAGATAAGCACCACTCACTTGAAAATGCAAAATCAAACAACCTCGAGCGGAAAAACTTAAAATTCTATTAATTAAATGAGAAATAAATATCAATATAAAGTAGATAGCTACTTTTACTAAGATTCAAACTAAACTAAGCTAATTTAGTAATAAAACAACTCTAACACGCCAACAAAAAGCTCACCTAAAGTAGAACAACTGCTGCCGCTATGCTATAACAGTTCTCGCGCTTAATTCAAAACGATTCATTTGAACTCTACGGATGCCCATTTCAAGTGGGTTCAGAGTCATTAGAAAGCTAACTCAACAAAGTTGAAAGGAGAACCCTCTTCCGACTCGAAAGATGGCTGGAGACGGGTGAAAACCAATGCTAAATACAGTAGTTCGAATATGGTTCCTATAATGCGCGATAAACTTCAAAATTTCACCTCGACCGAACCGTAATCCCAAAGCGACTGTAAAATCTCATCGTTCCACGACACCCTAAAATTTTTTTACAACATGATTTTACAGGTAACCAGGCAACTTAGAATTCAATACGGTCTGAAATTACAACTTTACTAAGGAGTTCTCCTTAATTCTTACCAGTCACTTCAATCGACGACGTTGTTTTGGCATGTTGAGAGCTTCAGTCTCTTGGGCCCATTTGTTAGATACCCGATGACTGGTGTCACTCTCGCCGAAGTTCTACTCACTTCTTTTCTTAACAGAGGCGGCATGTTTGGTGGAGACAGGAATGGAATCGTTGTTTCAAATCTTTGATGAGGACTACTTGAGCACGGGAATGGCCTAAGGCAATTCCACTGTCTTACCAATTCCTTCTACTATATGAAGGAAGTGACTATGTCTTCGATTGGGTTTTAAAGGCAACCACAGAAGCCACATTTGAAATTCCCCCAAAACACAAAGGATACTTTAACTTTTAAAAAATTATGAAAAGATTGGGAATGACCTTAAATGCCATAACATGTATTTTGAACAATTTTAGGTGTCTCAATTTTTTTTAATAAAGTGTAATTTTATGCTATAAAAGTTAAAAGCTTCAACGAACGCCCGCATTTCCAAGTGTACTCATAATTTATCTCTCTTATACATTGAACATGCATTATTTTGGATTTGGATGTTATTTCTCTATTACGACTCTAGTGATTGTTTTCGGGAAAAATAAAATAAATAGGGATAAACTCAAAGTACTGGAACTCAAGTAGATTGCGTTGCGGTTGAAATTACAAAAGCTTTCATGATTGAAGGAGACAAAAGAAATTCTACCAATATTGCGAAGAGCTTTACTCCATGAGATTATTATTTTGTGTGCAAGATTCTATAAGCCATCTCAAATACATCTAAGGAGCATCTTCACGAACGACGACAGATCATTTTCGGATGTATATATTCCTACTTGTTTCGCCTCTTCCTTTCTTTGGAGAGCCGATATGCAAAGTGACTGAGCGCGTCTGCATTGGTTCCTTCTCCTTCAATCTTTTCGAAGCTACCGGTCTTCAAGTTTACTCTTGACACCGGTTGTTGCAATAGCTTCTGCCCTCTTTCCATGAGCTTCTTTAGATTCTTTGGGGTCGCAACATCAACTGATGATTCTTTGCCGGTCAAGTCGTCGACCTGTTTTGAAGCAACCCACGCAGTCATTAGCCGGTCTAAAGTGCTAAAGTGACGACGTTAATTAAGCCAAACGCGATGTTAATAATCCATCTCATACCTGAATTCGGAGGTAATTTTGCTTGCATTTTAAGAATTGGAAGAAAGTAGATAAGTGTATGTCGACCATATCAGAGCTTGCGTCGTTGAAGATATCGACTAACGGAGTGAAACCATTGTGAAAGATCCAATGGATGAGTCCCCATTTAGATGCCTTGGTTGCATTATACTTCTCTTCACGCTTGGCCGCCCCAGTACCAAGGGATAGCACTAGTATGGGATCGGTCACTCTTAGATTTAGGTCCTCGAACTCTTCATTTAGCAAGAGGGTCTCACTCTCAACGTGGCTCAGAGCAACCAGGGTCTGCAAAACACAAGATTGCATATTGCTACTTCTCTCTGTTCTTGTTTCTTTTGGCCTGGAATATTAACTGGTTGTGATAAGCTTTTTTTTTTGCTAGAAATGGTTGTGATAAGCTTTGTAACAAATGAAACTTGATAATGTTCCCATATAATTAAGAAAAAACTTTGCTTGTACTTTCCTGTCATTAGTCAGATACCAAATTAGGAAATGATAACAGAGTAATGCCATTATTCTTTCATTGTATCGTGGTAATATACCCGGACCCTTGTTCTCGTTTTTGCACTTACGGGATTGTTTGCGGCAACCCCGCCATCAATGAGATCGAACCTACGGGTCTGCCCGCTCTCGTCTTTGGTCTTGAAGTAGTGCGCTGGGAGGTACGTGGGAGCTGCGGAGGTGCCGATGCAAACATCCGCCAACCGCGCATTATCCAGAGGATTCGCTTTTGCCTGTCCCCCATCAATTGTAAGAAACTCAAAAGAAGCATGAGGGAATTCAAATTACGCTGACAGTGCAAGGATCCATATCTATCTAGGGTCTGCGAAATCACGGATTATGGTCAAGTTCGGGCTCTTACGTCTTTGGTGGAAAAGATGACCGGTTGGAAATGCTTGATGTCGAAAGTCGGGATGACGACGTTGGTCAAGGTTTGACTGAGAGTGGTGTCTCCGAGCAAGCCATTGACTATGGATCGCAACTTCTTCCCGTCATACTTTGGCCCCATGAATGCCCGTAAACGCTTTACTGTTGAACTCATCGTGCCACAGCGACTGTTGACAAGTTGAATATAACACGTCAGAAACTTCCTCAAGTCCGGGAAATAGTGAGCAATGATACCAACTTGGTAGTTCATTGATCAATTTTCTTGTAGTTTTTAGCTATCTCTATTATTGCCTTTTACAGTAATAATATTGATAGTAATACCGCTGGTTTGAGCCCTAGCCCGCCGGCCGCGCGGACACCTTGATTATAAAAAAAAAAAAATATTGATAGTAATAATGTCTATATAAATATATAATAACAATCTCTTCTTTGAGAATTGCCTCAAAAAGTGGCACATAGAACTCTAATTTATAGGGAATTGATTATTCTCCTTGCAATGAGTACTTTTCCTTTTGGAAAATTTTATTATTTTCTCCAAAATTAAAATAATGCTGTTGGTTTCATAAAATTTCCCTACGTCATAATAATGACAATTAGAAATTTTCTAATCATTACCGATTCCCGATACTTTACATAATTGATGTACAATATAACGAATTTACACTAAAATATATATTCCAGTTTTATTCAAATGAAAGTTCACGCGGGCATATTACTAGTTTATTTGACAGGCCTTTGAAGTGACTTCTCCATCGTAATTCCTCTTTAGATTATTTCTTGAATGTTCAAGTGACACGAAGTATTATATTTAGAAAAAGAAGAAAAGGGGTTAACATAAGTTACCTTTTCTGAGGAAATATTTTAGGACAATTCTCTAAGTAAAATTTATTAATGTCGCATGCTTCAAACATTGGACGACCGTCCTTATTTGGTGCTGTAATCATGGCCGTCATCAATCCACCCGTGCTTGTCCCTGCAATTATGTCGAAGTAATCTGCAATTCTCTGATGCGGTCCGTCCAATTGCTGTAAATTCCGTCAACTTTAAACCACTGCCACGATCACCACATGACACAAAAAGACTATCCATATACGAGTAAAAGTGCTCATATTGATTCTACCGCTATTTAATATAGCTTCCTAATAGTAATTACAATGCAAAAAGGATGTTGCAACTTTTATAAGATATTTGGCAAACTCTTCGCAACTACAACACCATCAAATTTGTAACAGCTTATAAAGCTACCTCACCCAAATATCACCCAGTTGCCTACATCGACAGGGTGATCGGGATGGGAGATTGCCACACTCAATAGTATACTAGTCGATTGTCATTCGACATTATCATCAAAGAAAACATTGACAAATAAAACAAGTGGGTGCAATTACTTGAAGCTTGCATTCGAGAAAGGCAAGGATTGTGCCGGGAATGATCCCTCTCACGCCGCCTCCATCGATGCTCAAGACCGTCACCATCTTCCCTCTTGGAGATCCACTCGCCATGGACACAACTGAGAAGAGCTCGGCTTAAAAAGAATCAGAACACGACGTGTTGTTTTGCAAATTAATAGCAATTAAGAGATGAATATATGTTGATGGGTTGTAGTATTTATAGCTTGGATGAAACTGGAATTTTCTTGGAAATTGGAATAATGAGCTCTCTCTTGTGCCTAATCAATTATTGATTTGGTGACTTAGTGTTTCTGTTACGCCTTTGTTGATTATTCCTGTCTTTCCATTCACTTTAGTGAAGAAAAGATGGAGCCAATAGAAAAGTTAAGGCATAAAATAAAGTGTTCTCACGCATGTGAATCACGTATATGTGCAGATTCCTAGTACTATAGGTGCTCACTGCTCAGTAACATTCGAGACATAGTTTAAAGCTATGAATTTGGACCCTATCTTTTATCCTGCACACATTATCAAGAAGATAATTTGGTTTTCAAGCTAATATAAATATAATTAATTAACCGTCAATTGTTGTTTTAAACAAAGGGTATGATTGCATCACATTGATCATATGGTTACTGTTAGAGACATTATTAGGTATCTGTTAGTGGTGAAATTGCCGACTAGATCATGCTATGAGAGGCAAGCAACTAGCCCTAAAAATATGAGCTGAAGCGTTTGAGAAGTCTGATTCGCCTTATCAAAGTTTGCACGAACAAACAGCGCAAGATTAGCGAAAAGGGCAGGAACAATTCCTGTACTCTTGTTTGGCCAATTAAAACACTGAACTTGGCATTTTTTTTCACGTTCATCCTTATGTTAACTCGCAGTTAGAAAAGCACTAATGCGGACATTTTCGAGTTAAATCACCTTTTGTCTTCACCTATCCACCCGACGTGACAGGCGACGTGGCAAATCTGGCATCCCAAGTGACATTAAAAGAAAACTGGGGCACAACAGATTCAGCATTCAGGGCATTTGGGGTTGTGGAAAGAAATATGAGGGCTCAAACTCAAATCAGGGTTCTTTCAAAACTGGGGCATTTGAAGCGCGATGGGGGGTGTCGGTTCTTGGTGTGGATTGACCCTGAATTTAGCAGAAGGGCAGTTGAGGTAACATTGAGCTTCGTGATCGTGAAAAGAAGCTATGTGAACAAACTCGAACAACTTAATGGATGAATGTAGATGCTTGACCATCGAAAATAAAGAACTAACTGATCAAGCAAATTGCATATCTGAAGACCAAGAAACTGGTAGTGGATGGGCAAGAGACAGGAGATACTAGAAACAGCTATGGCGTAGGAAAGTAAATTTGGAAGTGATTACACTTGCAACGTGTATTGGGTTTATTCTGATTTGTTTGGATGAGTGCAATATCTAGGTGATTACAATGTGGAGGGCAACCGTACTTTTTGCTAGCTAGGAGAAGGAAAATGTCTCGGTGATTAGGATGTGGAGAGTGGCTGTGTTTTTTTATTTTTATTTTTTTCTGGGAGAAAAGATATATTCGTCTTGTCAGGAAAATATGTGTAGGAATATGGTAGTGTAATTTGTTAGAAATTAACCAAATTCATATATGTCAAGACTATCGATCAACTACCGAGTTGTCGATTCAATGGAGAAGTTGTCAATATTAATGGCTATCGATCGGTTATCTCGTTGCCGATATTCCAGAATTAATGTCGATGACTATTCTGTGCATGAGTCAAATAGAGTCTTTATTGTAGTGTTATTTTCAAGAAATATTTTTATGACTTGACTATTATCAATATTTTGTAAATTCCCAGGAAACTATGTCCTTGGAATGTTAGATGTATTAAGTGTAAGAGTCATGTATCAAGTCTATATATGGCGAGTCTTGTAATTGTTTTTGATGAGGTAAAAAATAAGAAAGAAAACCAAAAGCCTATTAGCCTCCTTCTCTCCCTTGAGTTGTGAGTGCTTAATCTTAAAATTTATCACATCAAATTTGGTATCAGAGCACACGGTTTGTGATCATGGCCTCAACAAACACTTAGCTTCCTCTTCAATACACTCGTCTTACCAAAGAAAATTATGGTAATTGGGCTGCTAGAATGAAAGCTCTACTTGGCGCCTATAGTACGTGGGAGGTTGTCAACACAGGCTATGATGATCCAGAAGACGAAGCCACGTTGAATGAAAACCAGAGGAATACTTTCGAGAAAGTTTGAGCAAAAGATCAATATGCCCTGTCAATCATCTATCAAGCTTTAGATGATTCGATGTTCGAGAAGGTGTCGAGCGCAACTACTTCTAAGGAAGCATGGGAGATCCTTCACAACACACACCAAGGAGTACAAAAAGTTCAGAAGATTCGCCTTCAAACTTTGAGAGGTGAATTTGAGGCAATCCACATGAAAGAATTTGAATGATTGCTGATTATTTCAAAAGAGTTTTGGCGTTTGTCAACCAAATGAAAAGAAATGGTGAAGATGTTCCAGATGTTCGAGTTGTCGAAAAGATTCTTCGGTCCTTAGACAAAAAGTATGATCACATTGGCGTTGCAATCGAAGAGTCCAAAGACGTGGATGCCATGACGATCGATGAGCTTTTAGGTTCATTGCAAGTCCATGAAGAAAGATTCAGAAGAAACAAGCATGAGCCGGTGGAGGACATACTCCAAACTTGGTTGACCATCCGAGACAAGAAGGAGCAAAGTAAAAATTCCGTACAAACTTGAGGGACTAATCAAGATTGTGAATGAGGCCGAGGCCGAGGTCAGTTTCAAGGAAGAGGTTGTGGACGAAGCAGAGGAGACTACTTGAAATAACAGTAGATACCAAAATCAAAGATGTGCTCGTGGAAGAGGACAGAACTCGAGAGGGCAATGGTATGATAAATCCAAAATTCGATGTTATCATTGCAATAAACTTGGCCATTATGCTTCCGACTGTTGGAACAAAGAAAGTAGTGGAGCAGACGTAAAGGCAAACTTGGTGAATGATGCCGAGCAAGTTCTTTTATTGGCATTCAAAGAAGATGACGGTGGCCAAAAAGATACGTGGTACTTGGATACCGGTACAAGCAACCACATGTGCAGGCGAAAGGAGATGTTTGCCGAGTTAGATGAGACAGTCAAAGAGAAAGTCTCGTTCATTGATAATTCTAAAATTCTTGTCGAAGACAAATGTACAATTCTGATTTGTTTAAAGAATGATGCACATTGGTTTATTACTAATGTTTATTATTATTATATTATATCTCGAGTTTGAGCCGTTTACGGAACCCCACCCGATTAGATAAATATTGAAGATTGATCGTGTTGATATCTCTTGGGCACAAAGGAGAAGATAAGCACTCACTCTTTGACCGGTTTGACTGATCAAGGGAAGTGCAAAAGAAAAAAAAAGAATTCAAGGGTTTTGTTTTATAATTCACCAACCCTACAGTAGCTCTTGAAGAGGAGCGCCGCATGAAGAACAAGGAATAAGAAGCAGACGTCCGTTCCTCCTTCAGGGGGAAGAGCCACTCGAAGAGGAGACCAAAACGCACGACGTCTTTGGTTTTTTCTGCCGCACGAACGTGATCACAGTGATTTTGTGCTCTGAGTATTATATCCATTTGAGTTGTTTATTTGTAAACACTTGGAGTTTGAATTTAATCTAGGTGTGGGAAACACTCGAGCATGTGAGTGAACGATTATAACTTGGATTCTCCGATTATTAGTGGGTTATGTGCTGTTGGCTCTCCCCATGGATGTAGGTATCGATACGTTCGATTGAACCACGTAAATCTTGGGTGTTTATTATTCCTAGTTTATTTCTCTAGCGATTTTCGCATTGACTTAACTTGCGAGATTCGGGTTAGCTTCCACATTTGTTAATATTACAACAATTATGTACCAAAGATGTCAAGCAATATCTTGAGTTTGGGACAACTTTTGGAGAAAAGGCTATATTGTCCACATGAAAGATCTTAGCCTTGTGCTAAGAGACCAAAATAGTAAACTAATTGCAAATGTGAAGATGTCGAAGAACATGATGTTTACTCTCAATAGAAAGAATGAAATGTCTCGATACTTAAATGCCTGCATGGATGATCCTTCATGGCTGTGGCATTTAGGTTCGAGCATCTCAATTTTGGTGGACTCAATTTACTTTCGCGCAAGAAGATGGTTTATGGCCTACCGCATATTGATTATCCTGATCACTTATGTGAAGGGTGTGTCATCGGCTAGCATTCCAGAACTAGCTTTCTAAAGGAAGCAACTTGTCGAGCAAAGAAGCCACTTGAGTTGATCTAATTTGTGTGGCCCAATCACTCCTCAATCATATGGTAATCATTGATATTTTGTTACTTTTATTGATGATTTTACTCGAAAAACTTGGGTGTATTTCTTGAAGAAAAATTCAGAAGTGTGAGGATCATGGTATAAGGATTGATCAAGGAGGAGAATTCACTTCAACCATATTTAACAAATTTTGTGAGGATCATGGTATTCAGCGTTTCTTAACGGCTCCATATTCTCCTAAACAAAATGGCGTGGTTGAACGAGAAAACAGAACCATTCTCGATATGGTTTGCAGCATGATGAAAATCAAAAATTGGCCGAAGGAGCTTTGGGGTGAAGCTATTATATGTACTGTCTATCTACAAAATAGATGTCCCACATATGGACTTGAAGGCTTAACTCCACAAGAGGCATGGAGTGGGAGAACACCAAATGTTTTGCACTTGAGAATTTTCTGAAGCGTTGCCTATGCTCATGTCTTGGGACAGAAAAGATCAAAGTTGGAAGATAAGAGCAAAAAGCTCATTTTTATCGGGTACGATTCCTCATCCAAAGCCTAAGCAGAGATATCAAGTTCGATGAAGATTGGATGTAGGAAGAAAATTCAAAAGATGAAGTGAATGCTCGTGATGATTCGAGCCAAATGGAGTTGAAGGATCACTCTTCACCTTCTTTTCCAATATTTTCTTCAAGTTCATCACCACCAACTTCTTCAAATGGTGTTGATGAATCATTAGTGCCAAGATCGAGGAGATTGTCTGAGATTTATGAAGCTACTAATGAGCTTCGCCTTGTATATCTTCTTGCAGATTGTGAGCAACTTGTCCATGATGATGCTGTCAAAGAAGAAAAATGGAGGAAAGCCATGAATGAAGAAATTGAAGCCATTGAGAAGAATCAAACATGGGAGTTTGCTGATCTTCCAAAGGACAAGAAACTGATCGATGTCAAATGGGTGTATAAGACAAAAAAGAACGAGAAAGGAGAAGTGACAAGGTACAAGGCTATATTAGTTGCGAAGGGGTACAAGCAAAAGGCCGGAATCGACTATGATGAAGTTTTTGCCCCTGTTATTCGCATAGAAACAATTAGATTAATCATCTCTATTGCTGCTCAAAATGATTGGCGAATTTATTAAATGGATGTCAAATCAACATTTTTAAATACATCCTTGATGAAGAGATTTATATTGAGCAATCTGAGGGATTTATTGTGAGAGGTCATGAAGACAAAGTGCTGAGGTTTAAGAAATCTCTCTATGGGCTTAAACAAGCACCGAGAGCATGTAATTCCATAATTGATGACTATTGCAAGGCCAATGGCTTTTCTCAATGTCCATATGAGCATGCACTTTATCTAAAACATGAAGAAAGTGATGTTCTATTGGCTTGTTTATATGTCGATGACCTTGTTTTTTCAGCAAAGGCATTGATGGTGAAGGAATTTGAGATGACTGACAATGGTCTCATGAATTAGTTCCTTGGCATCGAAGTGAAGCAAAGTGCAGATAGGATTTTTATTTCCCAAAAATGATATGCAGAAAATATTCTTGAAAAATTCAACATGAATAACTGTACACCAGTCAAAACATCGATGGAGTGCGGAACCAAGCTTTCAAAGTTTGATGAAGGTGTCGATGTTGATTCAACGTATTATAGAAGCTTGATCAGGAGCTTGAGATATTTGACATGTACGAGACCAGATATCATGTACAGTGTTGGAATTGTGAGTCGGTATATGGAGAAACCGAAGTCATCTCATCTTAAAGTTGCAAAAAGGGTACTTTGCCACATCAAAGGTACTATTGCTCATGGATTACACTACTATCAATCTAAATCCTTCCAGCTTAGAGCTTATTCAGACAGTGATTATGGTGGAGACATCGATAATTGAAAAAGCACTATAGGCTTTGTACTTTTCTTGTGTGATACCGCTTCCACGTGGTCATAAAAAGTGCAACCAAGTGTTACTCTGTCGACATACGGAGCTGAATATGTAGCTACATCTTCATGCGTTTGTCATGCAATATGGTTGAGGAGACTATTCAAAGAAATTGATATGGAGCAAGAGCCAAAAAAAGCAACGGAGATCTTTCTTGATAATAATTCTGCTATTGCCTTGGCGAAAAATCCAATTTTTCATGAACGAAGCAAACATATCGATGTTCGATATCATTTCATTCAAGAACAAGTGAGAGAGAAGGAGATTGAAGTATCACATGTGAAGAACAGATATCAAGTATCTGACATTTTTACGAAACCTCTCAAGATCGATGTTTTTCAGAATTCAAGAGTTTGCTTGGAATGGTTGATGGAAGAGAACTTGGTTTAAGGGAGAGTATTAGAAATTAAACCAAATTCATAAATGTCAAGACTATCGACCATCTACTGAGTTGTCGATTCAATGGAGAAGTTGTCGATATTAATGGTTGTTGATCGGTTACCTTGTTGTCGATATTCCATAATTAATGTCGATGATTGTTCGGTGCATTAGTCAAATAGAGTCTTTATTGTAGTGTTGTTTTCAAGAAGTATTTTTATGACTTGACTATTCGTGTTTCTAGGGTTAATCAATGTTTTGTAAGTTCCCAGGAAACTATGTCCTTGAAATGTTAGATGTATAAAGTGTAAGAGTTATGTATCAAGTCTATATATGGCGAGTCTTGTAATTGTTTCTGATGAGGTAAAAATAAGAAAGAAAACCAGAAACCTATTAGCCTCCTTCTCTCCCTCGAATTGTGTGAGTTTTGAGTGTTTCACCTTAAAATTTATCCCATCATAATGATCATGATGAATTGACAATGAGTGTTTTGGAATGTATTTGAAGCTTTGTAGTTACGATGAGAAGCCGTTTATAAAGCATTTTGTATGTTTTGTGTAGAGTTTGGTGATTTCAGATTGAAAAAAATGCATAATATTACAAAATAAAGCATCAACGAACACAATCTCAAGCATCTAAGAGTAACATGCAATACTGAGTAAGCCACGTCTACAATACTTAGGTGTGCCTGAGAACATACATTTGTCAAAAAACTAGATTACACCAATCTGCTCTAGCAGAATCCAGTAATTCAAAATAGCGGATCACACTAATCTGCTAACAAGCACCAGTCAACTTAAAGACGCCGGTTAACTAAAATATAAAAACACCAGCCAACCTAGAGAAGCCTTAAACTTCATATCGTAGCAACACATCCCAAAAAAAATTCAAAATGCAGTAAGCGTTCAGCTTAGGCTCATCCTTCTGCATCCTTCAACTTCATTTTCCTGCTTGTTCTTGTTGGTGGTCCTTGGTGGAGTCCCTTTCTTGTCCTTGAACGTGGCATTCGGTTGAGGAGACGACCTTGTTGCTCCAGCTTCATCACCATTTCCAACAATGTCATGGGTATCCATAGTTATAGGAGATGAACTCAATGGTCCAATTGATGATTGAGATGCTTTATTGGAGCTCATCTTGGACCTCAGTCGAGATGATGGCCTTGCTGGTGTAGCACTCCCGACACAGCTTTTGATAATGCTTCATTGGGTAGATGAACTTGTTACTGTTGAATTTGGTCCTACAATAGGCATCTCTTCAAGCTCTTCTAAAAACGCTGGTGCTCTCCCTTTCTTCGTTACTATGATTGAATCCCTTACCATCTGCAATCAATATAACATCAATTAGATCAGCAGATGTGGCAGCTTTGATGAATTAGTATATATATATATAACTTTCCAAAATTAGTATACTTACAGTGTCTCAGATGTAATGATTTTGCAACTCTTCTTCTGGGAATTATTGTGATATTCTTGTTGGCTGTCATTGACACGGAAATGATTCTTTGACCTTTAGTTCCAGGCTATAAAGTAATTCATATGTAAGATGTAGGTTAAATATTTGGTGAGATTAGTATTGCGAAGAGAAAAAATAAGTGCTTACATTGAGAATTTGAAGTCCATTTTTGAGGTTGGTGTAGATGACATATCCCAGCACTCTTGTCTTCGGTGGGACTTCTGTAATATATTGCATCAGTCTTTCGAAGTAAACTTCACGGCAAGGGGGAAAAGTATCGAAGTATGCCAATTTAATACCTTGCTCCCATATGCCTTTCCTTTATGATGCATCAATGCCTTTCTTTTATCATGTACCAAAGAAAGGTCTGTCAAAAGTAATAGCTGAGAAAACAATGAAAAATGAGGACCCAGATCTTACACTATACTTTGGTCTAACAAACATACCTCAGATCCAACACTTGTACCTATGTTTATCTATTGTAGCAAGACAATTTTTCTCCTCAGTCAGCTGGGCTCTTGTAGCCACATTGGTCTGTCAAATATATCTGACTTAGAAATACCTAAAGCTGTTAAACTGACAATATGTATAGCTGGAATTTAATACTGAACAAACAATTAATACCTGTGCACTTATATCATATACATCAATATTATTGGATTTTACTCACCAATGACAGAATCACTATGTTTCCCCTTTGATTTCCCCTTCATCTGCACAGAAGCACAAATGCAATTGTCAAAATTACAGAACAAACTATATAATATATGTGAAGTCAGAGAGTTGTTCCTACCCGTTTCTTCTTTTTATTCTTGGGACAAGTCAGTTAGTTGTGCCCCTTCTTATATCATACTTGACATGTGATTGGGGTGCCTTTTCTGGAAACTTTTCCAACCTCTCTGACTCCCCTTGCTCCTTGATCCTCATCTTCTTTTTGGGCCTTCCTAATTAGAGGTACAATCATAGGTTGCTTATCATTTGCACGCTACATTGAGTCTTAAAGGCCCTAAAACATGCTAGTATGTCTTCAAAAACATTTCTTTACTGTACCAATGGCAAACATAATTCTCAATTTCATCCCTTTTGTGCTATATGGCCCAGACTGCATGGGGGCATGGAATGCCATTCAAAACCTAACTCCTACAAGACAATGTCTTCTTTCTCATATCAACCATGAATCTATCTTGTTTATATGTTACTTCATACCCTAATTCACCATTTTGAACTATGTGACAATATGAACTTTCCCTTATCTCGAGCAAAATCCTAGGCCCTAGATTCCCACCACACCACCGCCCCCCCCCGCCCCTCCCTTCTTCTTCCGCTTTTCACATCACTGTCGCTTACAAAGCATTTTGTTGAAACTCTTAGCCTGATGTCTTTTAGCATTGAGAAAACTGTCACGCCCCGCACCCTAATCCCCTAGGTTCGGGTGCGCGACACCCCTCTTACATAGGTCATTTAATTGCGACGTTCCAGGAGGCATCGCCGACCCATTGCGTTAACTAACGAGTAAGCACATGCGGAAGCAAATTCTAATATCACCCAACCAAACAGCATAACAGGGATAGCATAAGAAACACATTCACCAAAAACATGCTTCATATATATATGCATCAAAATGATCGGATGTTAGCAAAATACAAACCCGTAACTAAAGGCCTTTATCCGATTCGAACAAAAGGGGTCGAGGTTAGACCTATCTCCTCTATCTACGAGGGCGTCCTCAAAAAGACACTCCCTCATACTCGGGTATGCTATGGCTCCTCTATGGGGTCGTAGTCCGGGTCCAACTCCGGATCACTGACGAGACCGTCGAGGATATTCGACCCCTAAGCGTCCCACGAAATTGCGCCAGGCGCACCCGGCGGTCCGGTAAAGCCCCGGAGAGGTCTGAAACGCTCCTCCCTGAACCACACACACCATGCTTTGAAGCGATGAGGAACTAAGTTAGGAAGCCCCTCGTCAACCCAAACGGTGGTCATGTACTCCTTGTATATCGTGTCCGTCTCCGGTGCAACGTACTCAACTATCTCAACGTCTTGGTCCACCGGGACCCCAAAACGTACTATCCATGTATCCATACTAAGGGCCTGAAAAGAGGTGAACAATGACAAATGAGAAAATCTCAATAAGCGGAACCGCTAAGCCTCGAGTAGGATGAAATTGTGCTTCGGAAAGACGAAGGGTAACTCATCAACTTCGCATGTCACAAAACCATCAATTAAACACTCATACTTCTTACCTTTCGACGACACATCAAATTCACATAACTATTTACATGTGAAGTCTTGCTTTCAATCGACATGCGGCAATCGTGCATATTAATCAAGAACACGTCATACCATATAATTCATGCATAATGCATTCACACGTGTTTCGATTATTACGACCGCTTAGGGCCACGACCAGCACTCACATTGGTGGTCTTCCAGCGTAATCGGGCATCGTTCCGCCTTATCGGGCACGACATCATCTCGACCTTACTCGAAGATGGCATTTAATTAAGAGCATCGTTCCAACCTTCATCGCGAATGGCAACTGAAATCCATCGGGCACCGTCTCTTGCAATCATACAAGTACGGAATCATTTATGTGATCAAGCAAGCATATCAATCACTCAAGCCAATTATTATCCTCTACTTAGGCCAATGCAAGAGTGTTTAATGTTCACACACTTAGAACTCCTAAATTCCGCACACATAAAATGTACTAGAGTAATTGCACGTGAAAGAAAATAGTGCATATATGAAATTGGGGTAAACCTGGGCAGTTTGTATAGTAACCGAAATCCTTTCAAAATAAATAGTAAATGAACTCCAAAAATTCTAAATTTTGGATATGTCATAGAAAACACCTTGATAAACATTTCTTATGGAAAACAAAAAACTCAGTTCAATATGAAATCATGTCTTTTTGTCACTCAAAGTCAGACCGAAATCAGCTCGTTTGAATAGACTGCTTAGTCCTAAAAATACATCTCTTTCAGTACCCAAATCACCTTAAAAAGCTTCGAAATTTTTGTATGTCATGGAAAGAAAAGTCCTTAACAACTTTTGTGAAGGAAGCTTGTTGAAAATGGATCTGAAAAAATTTATAAAAATTTGGAAAAACAAGAAGGTCAGAGAAACAGCATTCCAGGGCAGTTTAAACACGGTATGAAGATGGGATTTCGTGCGACCCAAATGACCTCCAAAAATTCCAGATTTAAAATATGTTAAACTTCAAGATGTGAGGAAAATTTTTGTGAAGAAAACCACTTCAGATTCGGCCCACAAAGGTCTCTACAAAAATAGTAAACCGAAGAGGTACAGTAACAACAAATCCGAATTTTAAACCAAACTTCAAAGATTCAAGCCCCAGTTGTTACCCACCAATCTTCAACCCACAAAACTCATTCCACCAGGTCCAAATCATCATGCAACAGCCACTTGAACATCCATAAACACATATGAGGAATCAAGCTCAACCAAGACTAACCTAGGACCGATATGCATAGAATAACGCCCTAGCCAAGGTTTAGAAGAACCACTTACTAAACTGTTGGAACTATGAGCGAGGATGGACAAATGGCGATGACGATGACACGACATGGTCAGCGGCGGTGAACGTTGAGCGGCTCGGCACGGCGTGAATGGTGACGAGCGGCGTGGCACGGTGATGGTGATGGCCGGTGGTGGTGGTGGTGGCAAGCGTGGAGGGAGAGAAGAGAGGTTCTTCAGGCACTAGTTCAAATTGAACATGTCACCCTTCATAATAACTGATATACTTGATGAACAATCTTTCATTTGAAATCTCTCTAAGACTTTATTGATATAGATTTCTTGATATAGTCCTAAAATGCCTCGAGGTCTATCCCTATAGATCTTAATACCAAATATATAAGATGCCTCACCATATCTTTTATGTCAAAACTCTTAAAGAGAAATTGTTTCACTTTGCAATCCCATATCATTGGTTGCAAGTAAAATGTTAGCCACATAGAGGACAAGAAAACAAATTTTGCTCCTACTGACCTTCTGGTATATATATTGATCCATGACATTCTCTACAAAATCGAATGAAGAGATGACATCATGGTACCTTAAGTACCATTGGCGGTATGCTTGTTTTAAGCCATATATAGATTTCTTATGGTTGTACACCTAATGCTCACCATTACTAGAGGAGATCCTTCTGGTTATTTCATGTAAACCTTCTCCTCTAGTTCTCCATTGAGGAACGCCATTTTCACATCCATTTGATGCAATTCCATGTCAAAATGGGCAATCAATGCCAAAACGATACGAAGAGAATCTTTCTTAGATACAAGAGAAATGTCTTTGTGTAATCGATTCCCTTCTTTTGAGTGAATCCTTTGACAACGAGTCTAGCTTTATATCTCTCAATGTTGCCCAACGAATCCTTCTTAGTTTTGAAGACCCATTTATAACCTATGGCCTTCGCTCCATTGGACAACTCAACCAAATTCCAGATTTTGTTAGATGCCATAGAAATCATCTCTTCTTTCATGGCATTATACTTCAAATTTGATTCATCACAACTCATGACTTGTAAAAATGTTTCAGGATCATTCTCAGCTCCAACATTATAGTTAGTTTCTTGTGGATACACAATGTAATAAGGGTTAATACCATGAAAACCCCCAAATTGGCACACCTGTGACAAATTTATTCCAAACTATTTTTTTGATCACAAAAAACTCCAAACTGGTGTACATGTGACAATTTTACCCCGAACTATTTTTTTGACTGCCAAAAACCCCATAGTGGTACACTTATGACAATTTTACTTCGAACTAATTTTTTGACCACCAAAAATCCCAAACTGGTACACCTATAACAAATTTACCCTCCGTTATTTCCATTAAATTTGACTGTTAAATTGCTAAGTTTGATTACATGTGGTGGTTGATGGGTGTACTGATTTGGGTTTTATTTGTCATAAGTTTACTAATTTGTGATTTTTTGTGATATCTGTGACATTCCGAATTTCAGCCCATTTTTGGGATTTATAAAACGTGTAATTCGTCAGTGTGCTTATAGTAAAATCTCGCCCGGGAACTGATCACTCTCGGTTATTATTTTTAAATTAGAGATTTCGCTAGAATCGCACTCGATCGAATTTGGCCGTTATTTAGAGCCCAAACTTTGGTGTTGAATTTCTCAGAATTTCGGAACGAATTTAATTGGACGGTGTCGATATTATTGTGGCCAGCATCGCTATTGCCAGGAATATGTGAAAAGTGGATTTTTGACCGGGTGCGGATTTGGACTAGTAGACCTCCCTCGTAGTGTGTTTTAGGTTATTTCTTTTTGGCCCTTTTTCCTAAATTATTAATTAGGAATTTTGAGAACCGTAGGATCGTTTCCGGATTTGAAATCAGACCGTTGGATCGCGCTCGAGTACCTTTGACTTTGTGGCCTTCTCTCTCTCTCTCTCCTCTCTCCTCTGCCGCGCACGTTCTCCCCCTGCCCGTGCGTCCCTTCTGCCCCCTCTCTCTCTCCTTCTTTCTCTTTTTCTTCTTCCTTCTCTCTCCTTCTTCTTCCTTCTTCCTTCTTCCTTCCTCGACCCCGACTGGTTCCGCTTCTGCTTCTGCCCGCTCGACCAATCGCCGCCGACCGCCCTTCGTCGTCCGCCTCGCGCCCCCGTCGCCCGACCGAGCCATGCTGCCGATTGTCGCTCGCGACCGCCGCTCGCCGGCCCTGTCCGCCTGTCGCCGGCCCTGCCCGCACTGCACGCGGCTTAGCTCGCCTGGCTGGCGTCCGCTGCGGCCGCGTTGCCTGGGTCGTCCGCCGGCCCTGTCCTCCGTTGCCCGGCCACCCGCGACGTCGCCGTGTCGCCTCAGACCGCCGCCCGACCTCCCCTTTCCCCCTGTTTTCTCTCCCCGGCGCCTTCCCCTGTTTCGGGCCCCTAGCGTCGCCGCCGCCGCGTGCCGCCGTCCCGGCCGCCGCCACTCTGCCTCTGCCACCCAGCCTCTTCCCTTAGTCACCTCTGCCGCCCTGCCGCCCCCCTTGGCCGCCACCACCTCCCTTCCCCTGTTTTTCTTCCTCCCCGACACTTCCCCTGTTTTGAGCTTTCCCGGCGCCACCCCGTCCAGCCGCCGCTTGCCGCCGCGTCCGGCGAGTCCCAGTCACCGCCCAGCCGTCCGGCCAGCTCCCCCCTCGGCTGCCGCATCGTGCCGCCCGTCGCAGCTGCTCGTCGCCGCCGCGTCAGCAGTCGCCGCCGCCACGTCAACGTCGCCGCCGCCGCTGCCGCGTCGCCGCCGCCGCTCGGCCGTCCCGGCCCGGCCAGCTAGCAGCCCAAGCCCGGCTCGGGCCGCTTGCCCGGCCGTGCCCGAGCTTGCCTGAGGCCGTGGCAGGCCCGTTGCCCACGCGACCAGGCCGCTCACCCGCTGCTCGGACCTTGGCCCGTCCCGTTCGGCCGCTCGCCCGTGCACCCGGCGCGTTGTCTGTTCAGCCGGCCCGTCGCCCGGGCACGTCGCCCATCCTGCTCGGCCGTGCGCCCCGAGCACACCGTTCGGCCACCGCGCCCACACCCCAGGCACGCCGATCGGCCACCGTGCTCGTGTTGGCCGGCCAGCGCGCCCGATGGCCCGCGCCCGTGCCTAGTTCGGCACTGTTCACCCCGGACATTTTAGGCCCGAGCCGATTTTTCCCGTGCTAAAACCTAGTAAGTGACTTCCTAAACCCTACCTAGTACTTTGGGTACTTTATAGAATTGTTTAGGGTTCGGAACGGTTAGGACACGATTTAATTTAATTATATTATTATATAATTGTGTTAGTGGGATTGGATGAAATTATATGCATGATTTGGATGTTCGTATGTGGCCGATTGAATGTCGAGTTTGTGGGTTGGCATGGCGTGTCGTGAATTGGATTGAATTGTGAATATGGATCGTTTGGTGTAATTGGTGTGAAATTGATTGAATTGAATGGCGTGTGTATGCCTGTCGATTACAAGCCCGGATTGATCGGAGGGCTACGGACTTGAGACGTGTTGACGGCGGTCCGTGTGAAGGCATGAATGGCCGGTGTGCCAAATGGATGCGGGCTTGAGACGTGTTGACGGTGGCCCGTTAAAGGTGTGTTGGATCGGGACGTGTTTACGTCGGTAATTAGAATTGAGCCCGGATTGATCGGAGGGCTACGGACTTGGGACGTGTTGACGGCGGTCCGTGTGAAAGCATGAATGGCCGGTGTGCCAAATGGGCCTGAGGCGCAGTGGCGCGGGCAGTGAGAATGGACCTGAGGTGCAGTGGCGCGGGTCGTGAGAAAGATGTTCGGCCATGCATGCGATTTGAGTGTGATTGAATTGACTGGTTGAGCGTGTGATTGAATTGGCTGGTTGGATGTGTGGTTAAGTTAATTGGATTGATTGAGTGCAAGTGTGGTTGGTGTTTGAGCGATTGTGATATGTTATTGAATTACTATTATTGTATTATTACGTTGTGACTAACGTGTAGAGTTGGCATGGGCTTGATGACAAGGTAAGTACAATGATTCGAATTTTATATGTTATGGGGTAAATTGCATGTACGACTTGTCTGGGTACGCATTGGCCTACGTGGGGTATAGGGGGTTGCTTATTGAGACTCGTTCTCACGGTTATTATATAACCATTTCAGATCCGCGACCATGAGTGATTGGAGATGCTGCAAGGGTATCTCGGAAATCGAGGACGGGTCAAGTACCCGGCATTTTTGAGTTCCCCTTTTTTTTAGAGGAGTTAAGTTTGCGAACTATTGTCCCTTTCGAGGAATGTGGTTCTGTTGTTGTGGCCTAGCTTGGGGATTGTCTTTTTGTGAACGTCGTATGTATCTGCCAAGTGTAGGAATTACAGTTATTGTTTCGTGCTATTGCTACCCCTTGTCATTATTAAATGTCTGGGTTGTTTCTATTTGTTTCCGCGAGTGCCTAATCTTTGATGTTTGGGTTGGGTCAGCGACGTTCCTGAGACGTCGCGTTCAATACCACCGTTGAAGGGGTGTTGCGAGCCCGTTGTGGTTCGGGGCGTGACAATATCAATCCAATTTAACGGACACTAACGGAGGATAAATTTGTCACAAATGTATTAGTTTGAAGTTTTTATTGGTCAAAAAATTAGTTTTGGGTAAAATTGTCACATGTGTACTAGTTTGGAGTTTTTGGCGGTCAAAAAATTAGTTTGGAGTAAAATTGTCACAATTGTATCAGAGTGGTTTTTGGTGATCAAAGAAATAATTCAGGGTAAATTTATCACAGGTATACCAATTTGGAGTTTTTGATGGTCAAAAAATTAGTTCGGGGTAAAATTATCACAAGTGTACCAGTTTGGGGATTTTCATGGTATTAACCCATATAATCACTAGAAATTGCTTATTTCTTCATTTTGGCAAATCTTCTTAACGTTGCATCAACATTCTCTCGAGGAGCATGTTGCTCAACAGTTTCTGATAATTGCTGAACAACTATATCTACCGGATCAATATCAACAGGTTATGGAGCTTCAATGATTGGTTGTTCAACAGCCAACTGAACTGAAGGAGTGTTATGAACAACAACCAATCTAATACTTGAGATGGAAGGTTGGTATCTGAATGATCTTTATCAATAACAAGGTCCCTAAATTGATCGCTCCCACTAATTAAGTCATTTTCAAGAAACTTAGTGTTTATCAATTCCACAATCCTAGTGGTGTGAGATGGACAATAAAATCTGTACCCAATGGACCTTTCGGCATATCTAATGAAATACCCTCTTATAGTCGTTGGGTCTAACTTCTTTTCCTGTGGATTGTAGACTCTCACTTCAGACGAGCATTCCCAAAGGCATACATGTCGCAAACTCGATTTTCAAGTTTTGAATAACTCAAAAGGAGTCCTTAAGACAGCCTTGGTCGAAACTCGGTTCAATATGTACACTGCTCTCTTCAGAGCTTCAGTCCACAAGGACTTCGAAAGTTTGGAGTTGCTAAGCATGCTCCGCACTGTGTCGAATAAAGTTCGGTTTCTTCTTTTTTCTACACCATTTTGGTCCAGAGAACCAGGCATGGTATATTAAGCCACTATCCCATGCTCTTCAACAAACTTCGCAAATAGACCAAGTGCTTGTCCATTTTCAGTGTATCTACCATAGAATTCGCCTTCTTTATCTAATCTCACGATCTTAATTTGCTTATTGCATTATTTCTCTACTTTGGTTTTAAATACCTTAAATGCTTCGTGCTTATTATGAAGCAAGTAGAGATACATGAAACATAAGTAATCATCTATAAAAAAGATGAAGTACTTCTGACCATACAAGTCCATATCTGGACTACAAATGTTTGCATGTGTGATTTTTAATATTTTCGTACTCCTCTTGGCACCTTTCTTTGTCTTGTTAATCTACTTTCCCTTTATACAGTCAACGCAAGTGTCATAATCAGTAAAATCCAAAGTACTAAGTACTCCATCATTTACTAATCACTTAATTCTATCTATGGAGGTATGTCCCAATCTCCAGTACCACAGCATAGATGAATCTTCATTCACAACACATCGTTTTATACCAGTGTTATCATCAACATGTATCGCATTATAAAATTCATTGTCTTGTAAGTTAATTCGAAAAGGACCATCAGACAAAATACTACTCCCAACAATTTCAGATTTAAACGATAAACTGAAGGTTGAATCTAAAAAGTTAAAGTAATAATCCAATGATAATAGTCTTGAAACTGAAATCAAGTTTCTAGAGAAACTACGAAAATAAAAGGTCCTTTCCATATTCAAAACAAAACCATTATGGAGAACTAATATGCATGTCCCAATAGCTTCCACATGCGAATGCATCTTGTTTGCTGAATAGATGCATTGTTCACTTTCCACTAGTTTCCGGTGGTTTTAAAAACCCTGTAAGGAATTTGAAATGTGGATTGTAGGTTTAGAATCAATGCACCAGGTGTTGTGACTCACATCAACTATATTAGATTTATAACAAACACATGAGATTGGATTGATTTTCTTCTCAAGCCAGGTCTTAAAGTTGACGCGATCCTTCTTCATATGCCCCTTCCTTTTACAAAAGAAGCATTTGGATTCCTTTTTAATGTCAGCTTGAGGAGGTATCTTACCCTTTCCCTTTTGCTTGCCTTGCTCCTTATACTTTTCTTGTGTTGTCAAATGAGCACTTTCTCCCGATTCCATAAGTAGCCCTTCTTCCTCTTGAACACACATGTTCATGAGTTCATTAATTGACCATTTATTTTTATGTGTAATATAAGAGATCTTGAAAGGTGCATACTATTGTGGGAGAGTGTTTAGAATGTAGTACATAAGAAAAGATTTAGATATCTCAACCTCAAGATTCCTCAGCTAAGCCACAATGTCCTTCATTTTCATGATGTGCTCATGTACACCTCTAATACTAGTGAGCTTCAATGATGAAAACTTCGTAATTAGGGTCATGGCATGCGCCTTTTCCGAATTTTTAAATTGCACATCAATAGCCTCTAGCAATATTTTGGCATTGTTATGCTGAGCGATTGAACCACGAACACTAGCAGAAAGTTTAGTCCTTATGAACATTATACTAAGGCGATTGAACCGCTCCCATTGTTCATAAAGAGCAAGTTTAGCTGGAGTGCTAGCATCGGTAGGAGTAGGTAGTTCATCTTTCCGAATAGGATAATCAATGTTCATGCACCCTAATTGAAGAAGGATTAATGCATTCCAAACTTTATAGTTGTCATCGTTTAACTCAGGAATATTAAAATCAGAAAATTTCACAGGTGGTGAAACTGTATAATAAACAAACATGCTTATGTCAAAAAATTTGAGGCAAATTTACAAAAAACATGTTTTCACTATGTAAAACATGTCACAAGATATGAATCAAATAACATCAAAAACTGCATGTGGGCTAAGTATCTAATTTAAATAGATTCATAATTACTTTATGAAGAAACTATCATATTATATTCCATTTTCTTAATCCATGAGGGTAAATTAAGAAAGATAATTTGCTATTTCATCCTAATTAATCATATTAATATAATAAAAATTTCTTTGGAAAAAAATTATTATATTGATACGATTAATTAAAATCAATGTCCCTTTTCTATATATGATCCAAAGGCCCTTAATATATATAATTTAAGATAATTAGAGATGTTGTGGCTAATCTTCAATTAAACAAAATTATATATGGATGACTAGAACTTTAATTTCATGCACAAAACATTCACTAAATTACATACAGGGGAAAAACAGGAAATTCATGTGGCCAACCAAGGGCAGAATAGTTAATGCACAAGTAGGGTCCGCACGGGCATGTGTAACACACACACACCCATTCCACTACATGGGCGGGTACCGTACATGCCCCTGACCAACCACACAAGTGCGTGGTGTGCACATACCTAAAGCCTCCGCACGGGTGGTTTTCTCTTCATCACCCAAGTCTCGGCGGTCCTTGTCTCGGTTACGCCTTCCACTGCCTGGGTCTCCTCTAAGAGCCCACCTTTGACCAAATTAAGTAGTTTGGAGACCACGCCGGTGTGACCACAAAAGTCCAAGGATTGGCGAAAATGGCCATGAAATCGGCCGGAATCAAGCAAATTTTCATCGGATACAAACCCTAACCACTGCAACTTTCGCTACTGAATTAGCCTCCGATGATCACCCTAATGCCGGATTAACTTATGGCTTTTCTTGCCCATGGCGGTGCGACCATAATGGTTCGAAGCCAGGTGGTGGGTCGCCTAAATTTGGCTAGAATCAGCAATTTGTCTCTCGGCTAGAAATTGCCCTGGTTTTCAATTCATTCAAAAACCCACGAAAAATCACCAAGGCAGAGTTATTAAGAGGCTATGATACCAACTGTTAGAGGATTTGCGAAAGACTAAATATTTTGATTATTGATGGATGAACAAAAGCCATGAATAATCACAATAACATTCTGTACTAACCTCCAGCCATTGATCAAGTTCGATTGAAAACCAGATTTGCAGAGACTTGAACGATCGGTGAATGGGTACTTCTGGCAATTGCCCTCTCAACGTTGATGGTGTGTTTTTCTATACTAAGGGGTTTGGCTTACACCTATTTATATTTCCACTGGCACCCCTTCAGATTACTTCTTTCATCAAGACAGTTATCTTAACATTGGACGATTACCATAGTTATCACGCAGCTTAATATGGATAATAAAATGTCAATGAAATCAATGTGGGCAATAATAAACTGAATATGAGATCACATTATCAATCCGTATGATAACACTTTTATGAGGCGCAGGACCCACTTAGTTCAATCTTTCTCTATTGCACTCCTCTTCTAGTTTTATGTTTTCTCATAATTTATATGCCTTCAGTTCTTGAACACATAATTTAAATAAAGCATTGAAATATGAAAATAGCATTATTATTAAGTAAAAAAGAAGTCGGGTCTCCGGAAAGTCTTGACACTGATTCGAGAAACAATGCAACAAGGGTTCTGCAACTCATCCAAGTAAATTGTGGACGATGGAAGCAAATGCATCGTTTCCACTAGAAAAGATGGCATGCTCTGTGTGATGTCCCAGTGTTGGACTATTGACTTCTCACGTGCACGGTTGGGAGCTTCGCCGAATGAGTGAATGAGGAAATGAATTGGATTGCAGACCTATAATACCCAGCTCGTCCTCGGCATTATGAAGTGTCCTCATGGGACTTCGTCGTGCCTTTTGGTAGTTGAAGGTTCGGTTAGATCATTCAGTCCTGATGAGTTCTCAGTTTTTCGGCAAAATTCAAATCAGCCATTGTTCTACTTGAAAGGAATCCAAAGTTTTACTGGCATGCTCTCTGAATCAGCCAAACATCATTAGGATCTGGATCTCCTATGTTTTTCTCTAATAGTCGACTCAGATCTTCAAATAATATCATAATTTGTAGTATTCATTAGTATTCTTTAGGTTATTGAAGTTGATTTTTTCAACTTGCACTTCCTTGAGGTAATTTCTTCACCTCATTGTCCCACTGATGTCATGCAAGTGAGCTTGTAGATAATGGGTTTCATGTGCAATTGTCCCTTTCAGTAAGGATGTTATATCAATTGAACAAAGGAGCAGGTTCTTTAAGAGGAATTAATGACGTGAGGCTTGTCTCCTGTACTTGTACCAATTCATTGCATCAAGTTGGTGCATAATCCAAACACTATTTGTGAGATTTTTCTATGAAATCAAACTCTATGATCCAGTTAGTGTGGCTGATGAAAAAACCTAGAAGGATGAATTCTTTTGTTTCCTTGAACTTTTTTTATGATCCTAATGTCCTCTATGACTACGAAGAATTCGTAAACATGGTGGATAAACAGTTGTCCGCACCAGGAGAACAATGCTCTGGATCTGTACATTCTCTCGGTCACTTAGATAAGGTCGATGATTCATGTTTGACTCTCCTGTTCAGAGACCTGATCTCGAGTCCTTGTACTTGTCCTGTTATGTTTTTTCTTCACTTACCAACTGTAGGGAAAATGTTTGCAGAAGAATCGACTAAGCTTTCGATGCCCAATAAAAGAATTACTCAGGAATGTGAATTGAATCACCAGCGAATGTTGGACGAATTTACAACTTCACACCGGTCTGAATATAATCACAAGGAAAATATTCTTGTTCTATAACGTTAATACTGATCGTTTTCTCAAAGTAACGATGGAACCCTTCGTGTGTGTTTTATGAATTGAGAGGAAACGTACGTTCTTTTCTGTACGTTGTCTTTCTTTTCTATTTTCTCTCTCATAAGGAAGTTATATTAACTTCCCTCAATAGACAACTAATGAAACCTCTTCAAGGGGTGCCTCTCAAACATACATCTCATCATAGGCGAAACGGTGCCATTTAACATCTCCCACACGAACATGATGGGCTTGATAATGCTCTATCAAGAATATGAGGCATTCAACATTCATCTACTTTAGAAACGATTCATACTGGTAAAAAAACCATGCGACCAGTGAGTACACCTGCACTTGAGAGCTCAAATTATGCACTTGTTAGGGATATCAACGGCTATAACCCAAAAAGAAAAAATAAGTAAATGATGTCTCATAGTGCCTCATACATATTTTGTTACATCAGTCTAAGTATACTTATCCCTTAAAGGCTATACT